ACTGTCTTACAGTCCTTTAAAGCAGCTATAGAGTTTGTATCATTTTTGAAGAAAATTTCAGTCAGGGATTTGAAGTGTTTGATTATGGATGATAAATGTGTCATATCTTATTAACATGTCTCATGTCTCATTCATTCTCAGTATGATTTAGTTGGAATTTATTTTCTTTTTGTTTCATGTTTAATTTCATAAACATTTAACAATTGGCATATATACTTGCCATTCCTGTCAGTCAAGGATTATAATCCAAGCCTGGGAAAATCTTAAATTTCTTTATACTTAAATCTGAAAATTTGTGTCCGTTCTGCCAACTTTTTCTTTTTTTTACATAGTGGATGGGAGGAAATGGGGGTTATACCTTACAATAAGTCAAAATAGCATGCCAAAAAATTTGAAACAGATCATTCTAATACCTGAGGCTTAATTGTTTATAAAATACTTAAGATAATGACATTAATATGGAATCAACAAATGGATAAGAATATAACATAACTTCTAAAAGTTTTCTTAAATATCAGAAGGGATTGTAAGCAAATCTACAAAGGTTCTTGAACCTTTTGACTTATACAAAACTGAAAAGTCATTAAGGCGGTCAACTAATCAGGAATTAAATGGTCATTTATTTCATGCTGTATGATTTAAGGTATTTGTTGGGATTCTGGTCAAATGTCATAATTTGCAAATGGGATTTAAAAAAACCTCCTAAATCAATAGGTGAACATGAAATAATTATCTAAATAATGGTATTGGAGAACTTGTTTCCTGCTATTTGGAAGAAATTATTGCTTCATTGCTAGTTTATATTTCTAACTTCTACAGTTATAGACTCCACTGTGCTTTGTATCTGAATTTCTCAGTGTAGACGTTTTGTTTACTGCATATTTATTTTCAACTTTGTCTTTAAAATTGCTTTAGGAAAAATTGTTGTAATTAATTTCTGCTACAGAAAAGCCACCTGGTATGTTTTATATCAAGATTGTTTTAAATTGTAAACTACAACTTCGTTCGGGGGGGCTTTTGCAATGATAGCAGAAAACTGTTAGAGAGGTTCTTGTTGAAATGAACTAACCATTTGATGATATGTACAGCTGTATACTTGAGTCTTTTTTTAGTTTACTTATAAAGACTAGCAATTTGATCTGTTAAACAGGACTAGTTCAATTTAAGAAACTAAGGTTGTTGTATATACCTGGAGGCGTCTGTTATTCAGCTTATTGTTTGAGTGGGTTTTTGGCACTATGAGGATAAACTTATGTGACCCACTTGAATGGCTGATCTAATGATGTTGACATGAATTCTGTACTTAGTGAAATGTTAGATGAAAATAACTGATGAATAATTTTTTATATTAAAAGGGGATGGGAAAAGAACACATGAATTTGTTAATAAAGCACTATGATATGCAAAAGATGGAATGTTTCATAAAGATCTAAAGAAATAAAGGAAACTTTAAAACAGGGTGATGTTAAAATTCTTAGTTACATTGTAGTTCAGAAAGTGCTGTAGCCAATTTAAAAATTTTTTGATAGTAATGTACAAACATATCTGTGGACATGTATTTTGATGTTAACACAGCCATGAAATACAAATATATATATATATATTTTTTGAGACGGAGTTTCGCTCTTGTTACCCAGGCTGGAGTGCAATGGCGCGATCTCGGCTCACCGCAACCTCCGCCCCCTGGGTTCAGGCAATTCTCCTGCTCAGCCTCCTGAGTAGCTGGGATTACAGGCACATGCCACCGTGCCCAGCTAATTTTTTGTAATTTTTAGTAGAGACGGGGTTTCACCATGTTGACCAGGATGTTCTCGATCTGCCGACCTCGTGATCCACCCGACTCGGCCTCCCAAAGTGCTGGGATTACAGGCTTGAGCCACCGCGCCCGGCCCGAAATACAAATATATTTTAAGCAACTCTAATTAAGAGTGTAGATTTCTAGGTTGTACTCCAATTTGCCAAATCTCTGCAAGGTGGGGCCCAGAACTGCATTTTAACAACCCTTCCAGGCAATTCTTGTCCTCAACAAGGTTTGAAAACTGATGGAGGGATTATAAACCAGGGAGCATTTCTCTCTGTTCTAAGTAGCTGTGAACCCAACTTAGACATCTCACTGAAAATAAATGACTAAAAGGAGTGGGGAGGACTACAAAGAATTATTTACCTCCCAGGCACTGTCCATACTTCTCATTTAATCAGCATGAGGGCCTTAAAAGGGAGTATCATTATTCCCTTACAAATATGGAATAGGCTAGTTTTCAATGTAAGTTGAATTTTCCATAGTACTTTCGAATTAGCGTATGTCACAACTTCTCCAGCTTATGTCCAGGAACAGAAATGGGGCTACTCAGTACCTAGGCCTTGGTTCTGGTGTTGACATTCAGTGTGGCCTGTACACTTGATTTACCAGGCTAACTTGCAGCTCACTGGAAGTCTTTCAGGTGATCATATTTACTTTGGTGACCACATTTTGCTACAGCAATAAATTTAGTGTGATTTTACACAAAATGAAGGAAATCTAATTTGGTTAAAGAGCGTTTTCTCACAGAGGACACAGAATTTGACTCTAGTGTTTTATGAAAGGTTATCTCCCCCATATGTTACTGATTTTGAATTTTTAAAATTCTGTTTTATAGGAAGATCTGAGAATGTATGAATGAAAAAAAAGGTAAAGCAAAACAATGTCAGAGATTCAAGAGCCAAAAGCAAGGGGATGGGATTTGTCCTAAGGGAATATAAAGTCAGTGTACTTCATAATTGACTAAGAATGTGGATTTTTTTTTTTCAAAAAAATGTAATCTTTTCATTTGTAAAGTAAGCTACAAATGTATTTCTATAACCACCTCTGGTTTTCTGTGCCTAGATCTGAGCACTTAAATTTTGCTGTTGTACTAATCTCCTTTTAAATTAATGGCCACAAAGTACACATGGCCACTCAACTCTGCCAAACTTTCTAATATGCCCTTTTATTGTATGTTCACTTTCACACTCCTCAAAATGACTCCCTGCCACCCCCACCCTGAGACAGGGTCTTCCTCTGTTGCCCAGGCTGGAGATATAGCTCATTGTAGCCTTGGTCTTGTGGGCTCAAGCCATCTTCCCACCTCACCCTCACCCAAGAAGCTAGGACTAGAGGTATGTGCCACCACACCAGGCTGATTTAAAAAAATTTTTGTAGAGACAGGGTCTATGTTGCCCAGGCTGGTCTCGAACTCCTGGCCTCAAGCGATCCTCCTGCCTTGGCTTCCCAAAGTGTTGGGATTACAGGTGTGAGCTACTGTGCCTGGCCCAGAATCACTCTGTAGTGTGACCAATTATTTCCTTTTTGCCAAACCCATTCATCACTTCTCTGTATCTTAGTTGACCCCTCAGTGGCATTCATTATTATTGACCATGTCCTTGTTTCTTCCTGTGACTAACTTTTTGATTTGAGTAGTCTTTTCCAGGCTTGGGCAACCACCCTATTCCAAATCTGCACTTTCCCCCCCCCCCCCAGGCAGTCTAATCTAGAGCCATCACTTTAAATATCATAGATATGCAGATGATCCCTAAATATGTATTTCAGTTCTGACCGTAACTCAACTCCAGACTTAGCCATTTACCTGTCATCCCTGCTAGGATGTCTATCTAGTAAGCATCTCAAAATTGACATCTAACTACCAAGGTAACCATATCACAGATAATGTCTTCCCAACTGAGACACTTGAGAGTGAAAGAGCAAGAGCACCACTGAAACTTTTATGTTGGGACAAGAAGCATATACTAAAAACTCTCCAAGGGTTTCCTATCACACTTTGAATGAGATTCTGCTCCTTAGAAGGACCCATGCTACCTATCTCCTCTTGTGCCACTCTCCCAATCTCTCAGCCCTGCTCCAACTGTACTTGCTGCTATTCGTCTTGAATAAACATTCCTACACAACTTACCCTGAGTCTCCTCATCCTTAGAAGTGAACAATGGTACTTTTAGAATTTTAAGTGACTTACCCTTGAGTCTCCTCATCCGTAGGAGTGAACAGAGAACTTATACACAGAGCTCCCTCTCACTGTCCCAAGGAAGTGAACAGATTTGGATAGTAAGGGTTACTTGCATTCGCTGAAGGAGTGAAGAGTGAGGATACTGCCTGCATTTTTCATTTTTCCATTATACTTAAGCCATGTACAAATAGTGCACAGACGTTCAGTGTCAGAGTCAATTGTTTGGCTGTGCATTTGTTACAAAGTTCAGACTTCACAGCTGAAAGGGAGCCAGTTCTTTATCTGGGCAATATTTATCTTGGAACAAGGTTCAGAAATAGAAAATTGAAACACTACTCCTAAAATTAGTACTAACCATCACCCACTTTCCCTTACAGGCAGACCTGGATTTTCAGAAAGTTTTCTAAAAAGCTCCATTTATTTCAAGTGTATATAAATTAGATAATTTTGAATTAGAAAATTTTATAGAGAGGTTTTCATAAATGTCCCCAAATTTGTTGTTAGTACTCATTCCTTTTGGCATGTCAGGTAGGGGTGACTTCTCTTACGCCAATTCGTAAGTAATCCTTCCAATTTAAAAGGTTTGAACAGAAGTCGGAGCCGACTTAATAAACTTGGACTCTGCCACTTGGCAGCTGAATGGCCTCTCTTAAGCTTCAGTTTCCTCATGTGTCAAATGAGGAAAGTAATGAATGCACGTGGTGTTTTATGAGAGTTATGATGGTCAATTTTAAGCTAACTGATCACGCAAGTAGGCTCTAATTTTTTTTTTAAGATAATACTTGGTTCTCAAAGACAGTCATTTATTCCAAGCACAAGATTAAATTAGTTTTCTCCAAAAAAAAAAAAAAAAGGTATAGAAGTTTGCTAATATTTCACGTAACACTAAGCTAGAGTGATGTTTCATGGCTGGTAGTGAGGAAGACTGGATTTGCATCCCAAGATGAAATGTGCTGTATGAATAAAAATGTATCCATACCTTGAATTAAGGAAGCACTTGTCCGTTTCTTAGAAATGATTCACTTATAAAGTATCAAACTGATATGGCATTTAATGGTACATGAGTTTTTGAAATAATGGTTTAAGGTAAAAGTTACCAACTTTAGTTATTAAAATAAATACAGTTTACATTTTATAATATGGCAAATGAGTCAGAATTTATCTATTTAGAGATAACTTAAACACAATTCAGAAGGTAAGCAGGTTCTTAAAATTACAGGTGCCTACAAACTGCCTGAATTTTTGTCTTTGCTAGTTTCACCCTGCACTGCTAGAAAGAAGCAACATCAGTCAGTATGTCATTCTTCGACGTTTAATGGCGCTACAGGGTTAAATAATGGTCTTACTTTTTTGGCCTGAATTTTGCCAAAACTAGCTTCAAACTCTTTTTTTGATCCATTTAGATTTGCCAGATGTCCATCCTTTATTCTGTAGCCTAAGGAATTGAGTTTCCTTATCCTGTACTGTACTATTTGTGGTGTTAATTCAAGAACCATTGGCGTCTCTTTTATCTGAGCTATGGAAATTCCTTCTTTCAATAATCCTTGCATTCTCTCTTCTAAAACTGGAACAGAATAATACAAAAGGGCAGGACATTTCAAAATTAATTCCTTCAGGTCATGCTCTGTGCATTTAAAAGCATTTTTAGAGAAGGAAATGCTATTCTGTATACTTCTCGGGCAAAGTTGAAAAAGAAATCCTTTGAGTTTAGACAGAAGCAGGAGAATTTCAAAGTTTTTGAAACCCTGCTCCTGGAGAAACTCTAGTGTTTCCTTTATAGCTGCGGGAGAATTTAACAAAATAAATGGGTTTTGGCTTAACAGTTTTAGTAGCCAGACTTTCATGTTGGCCTCAGAACCACCTACGGCTAGATAGCTCTCCTGGAGAATTCTTATCATCTGCTTATTCTTCTCAACAGGATTATGAAAAATATTAGATGCAGTTGTCAAAAGTCTGCTAATGACCACATTTTTTAGTCCCAACTCTTGAAAGAATAGAACATTCAGCTTCTGGTTCTCTTGGTCTTCAATGGTAAAGAAAGATTCTGGAAACTGCTCTATTAACTTGATTAACTCTTCCTCATTTTTGCAGACCAATTGCCAGAGTTTTCTCTGGGTGTTAACAGTGGTTGGACTACAAACAATGGCTTCCGGGCAGCGTTCCAAAATACTGGCTACAGCAGTCTCATCGGCACCTAGTTCTTGTAAAATATTCACAATTTCTTCAACATAGGTTTCATCCTCTAAAAGTACCCATCCTTTTAATCTACGAATTTTCCTAATGTCAACTGAAAATTTATAGAGCGTTTCCACGGTTCTTGTATTTTCTTTGCTTGACAGTCTATCAGTTGTGTAGGTGAAGCATGCTACGACAGGTCTATATTTTGGAGTTGATGGCATCTTTCTGAAAGAACACAGCCTACAGGGCTGGGATCTCATCAGCAGCTTCCACAACATGGCTGCAGTCCTCTAGCTTTTCCACCGTCCTAGGACTCAAACAGACTCATTCTATCTGTAAAAAAGAAAATAAAGGTTTTTAGTATAAGGGTGTTGACTTTCAGAACACATACACTAACAAATTTCAGCTGTTTAAGTACAGAAATAAGGTGGATTTAAATTAGACAAGAAAACTACTCGTGTAATATTTTAAAAAATCTTCCTAAATAATTAATTGAAGTAATTGTAATACACTTCTCTGTACTTCTACATCTTATACTTTGTAAATACATTGTGGAGTTACTTCCATTTTACAGATGAGCAGCAAGACCAGAATTCAAAAGTTCATAGACCTCAAATGTTATTTTCATACCAATTCCCTTTCCCACAACTTATTTTTCTTTCTTTTAAGAGGCATCTATTATGCACACGCACACACAAACATGTTTTTTTGAAATGTTTTATATTATTAAGTTGATGTTTAGCTGAAGCAGATAAAGGGGGAGAGGGAAAGGGTCATCTCTAATTTTATATTTTAGAGTAAATATTTTGCTGAATAACTATCACCCAAAATGTGCCAATTATTTTATTTTAAATGAGTTAATAAATGGAGTGTATGTGTGTGTTTAGAATTATGTGAACGAAACTCTCTTTTATAAATCCAGAATTAAAATAATTTGTAATTCCAGCACCACTTTGGGAGGCTGAGGCAGGCAGATCACTTGAGGTTGGGAGTTCTAGATTTGGTAACACGGTGAAACCCTGTCTCTACTAAAAATACAAAAATTAGCTGGATGTGGTGGCGGTTACCTGTAATCCCTAGCCAAGTAAAATGAAAAAATGCCACGACTGTTCCCGTGGTGCCATGGGAAATCAGGTCAGCTGTGGAATGGTGACTGTAGTTTTAGAACAGTATAATCAGCTATCCACTTGACATCTTTAGGTATCTTTTTTTTTTTTTGAGATGGAGTTTCACTCTTGTTACCCAGGCTGGAGTGCAATGGCACAATCTCAGCTCACAGCAACCTCCGCCTCCTGGGTTCAGGCAATTCTCCTGCCTCAGCCTCCTGAGTAGCTGGGATTACAGGCACGCGCCACCATGCCCAGCTAATTTTTTGTATTTTTAGTAGAGACGGGGTTTCACCATGTTGACCAGGATGGTCTCCATCTCTTGACCTCGTGATCCACCCGTCTCGGCCTCCCAAAGTGCTGGGATTACAGGCGTGAGCCACCACGCCCGGCCCATCTTTAGGTATCCTAAGATGGCTATACTGTGTCTGACACATCAATAGTCTTTGCCTCTGGAGGGGCAGCAAAACACCTCCATCCTTTTAGGGTCGTGACTGGACCCAATAATTAAACAGACACAAGATACATTAACAGGAGAAAAACATAAAATTTATTTAATGCAAGTTTATGTGGCATGGGAGCCCTAGTAAGGAATTGAAGACCCAAAAAAGCAGTTAGAGTCGGTTATTTATGTACTGAATTGCACAAAAAGTAGGAAGCTCTGAAAAAGCAACTGAAACGGGGAGATTTAAAAGAAAATTTATTTTGACGAGGACCATGCAGAATTCTTTTAGTATCAATTTCTCATCCTTGAGGTTAAGGATGTTACTCCTTTTGGTATAGGGAGGGTATCTTTCACATGGGAACAGAAAGAAAAGTCAGATCTTACACCTGCTGTTTTTCAGGTGCCTTTAATTCAAAACGGTTCGTATATCAGGGTGGTATCATGAACTCCACCACTATTTCGTCTCTGGTAACGAAAATACATCTGGTTTGTTTTACTACCCGAGAGTGTTCTAAGTGTCTCAGCCTTGCCACAGACGTGTGCAGTACAGGTCAGTTTAGCCTGTTGGCAGCCTTCCCTCATTCTTCATACGTCTGAAAGTAAAGCAGAAAGCAGCCATTTCCAATCCCTGACTCTAATTTAAATGCCCTTGCCATATATGCTCGGGACTCTTCACTTTCAGCCCTGTCCTAACTCATCCAAATACATGATTACTCTATTAGGAAAATTAGGTACTCTTTCCATTTTGGTTTAGTTCATTGTAAGTGCCTATGGAGGCTAAAATAATTGTAGGAGCTTGTTTTAGTGGTTCAACCTGAAATTTCTTCAGATAATTCCTAATACTGTAAGCCAAGATTAAAAATTTTAAAAATTTCTAAGAAGACCATCAATGTTAACAGGAAGGAGGAGGCACAGCATGATGCAGCAGTACAGGGAGATTGGGGCTGGGATCCCGCTCCCCACTCCTGGTTGTGCGACTCCACAGGTTCAGGCTGTACATCTGTCCCACATGTCAGGGAGGAGTGTAGGGTGCTGCCAACCACCCACACCCAATCCTGCCTCTAGTTTAGGGGGCAGCAGGTAAGACAGCAGTGATTAGAAGAGTACCTCACACTAACTATTCAATGAGTATTACTAGCAGCAATCTGTGAAACAGAACATAATCTATGCCTTAAAGGAAAACTCTGCAAGGTTTAAAATGCATATCAAGTACTTTGGACACTGCCTGGTACATAGTAAAATTTCTGGAGCTAAAAGTCTTGTATGACTTTAAACTGTATTTTAGACAGAAATAGATTTACAAAGAGTAACTGAAAACTAAAGAATGTATTTTGTTTTTCTTGAGACAGGGTCTCACTCTTGTCACCCAGGCTGGAGTACAGTGGTGTGATCTTGGCTCACTGCAACCTCTGCTTTCCTGCTCAAGTGATTCTCCAACCTCAGCTTCCTGAGTAGCTGGGACTACAGCCATGAGCCACCATGCCTGGCTAATTTTTATATTTTTTGTAGAACAGGGTCTTGCTATGTTGCCCAGGCTGGTCTGGAACTCCTGAGCTCAAGTGGTCCACCTGCCTTGGCCTACCAAAATGTTGGGATTACAGGTGTGAGCCAGCACACCTGGCCTAAAAACTGTATTTTAAATGCTCTGTTTCCCAAAGTAACTGCTTATAAAAGCAATGTGCATTCATCACAGAATAGTTGCCAACTTCTGAAAAGTATAAGGAAATGGAAAAAGTCACAGTCCTACCACCTGAAGACAATTGTTCATGTTTTGGCATATATGATGATGTGTGACCTGAACACATCACCGTTCACCCTGGAGTAAGCGGGAAAGGCAGACAGCCTGCTGTTCCCTTAGCCCCACTGTTCAGGAGCCTCTGTCAGTGGGTACACCTTGCCATGCTCAATGTAGTTCTAATGTTTGATGATCTGTCATTCTGTATAATGTAACCCCCCAACCAAGCCAACTGCTTCATCTAGTGCTTAGCCAGAGAAGAGGATCTGTTCCAACCTCAAGGAACTGGCTGTGCTGGACTTGCTGAAAGACAGTGTATTACCGGTCTCCTGTATGGTACCTTCCCTACACATGAGACTTAGGTTCTGAATTCAGCCTATAAAGTAAAAATTACAAAGACTCAAAATTTGTGTTGAAAATCTCTTAAGCAGACACCACACAGATGAAGTAGTTGGCTACAAATTATGATGTGTTCAGGTGAGTCGTCTTTACCAGTTAAAGTTATCTGTCTTGCTTCATCTCTGATAAGTAAACACAGCTGACTATGAAAGTGAAAAGTATGAATGTTGTGACTCCTGTGTAATGAGAACATAATACATATATATATGTATGTAATTTACCTTTCTGCTGCTATTTTACTCACAGTGAGTATCTAACCATGGTATTACAAATGCTCTGTAAACATTTAAAATGAGTGCTTGGTATATGGGATGGATATATTGTTATTTTGTAATTCCTTCCTTACACTGAGCATTTAGGCTATTTGTAATTTTTACTATACGCTGAATATATGTCCACATTTCATATGCTTTTCCTTTAGGATGAATTCCTAGAAGTAGATTTCCTGTCTGAAGAGATGTGTGAACACTTGGAAAGGGAAGTTGCTAAATTTCCTGTCAAGAAAAACTATCTCCACTGACATTCTCACAGGCAGTATGAGTGATTCTCTCATCAGTTATTTTGATATGTGAAAAACGATATGACACTAATTTCTTTTTATTATTGATGAGGGTGATGTTTCATAATAAACTATTTTGGTCACCTTTATTTCCTTTTGTGAATCAACTATTCCTGCCTTTTAAAACTGCAATTGTGGCTGGGTGTGGTGGTGCACACCTGTAGTCTCAGCCCTTTGGGAGGCCAAGGTGGGCAGATCACGAGGTCAGGAGATGGAGACCTTCCTGGCTAACAAGGTGAAATTCTGTCTCTACTAAAAATACAAAAAATTAGCTGGCCATGATGGCACGTGACTGTAGTCCCAGCTACTTGGGAGGCTGGGGCAGCAGAATCACTTGAAGCCGGGAGGCAGAGGTTGCAGTGAGCCGATATCACGCCATTGCACTCCAGCCTGCGTGACAGAGTGAGATTCCTTCTCAAAAAAAAAAAAAAAGAAAAACTGCAGTCGTTCTTCTTTGTAAAAATTGACTTGTGCAGCGCGGCACAGTGAATCGTGTTTATAATCCCAGCACTTTGTGCAGATCACAAGGTCAGGAGTTTGAGATCAGCCTTCCAATATGGTGAAATCCCATTTCTACTAAAAAAAAATACAAAAATTAGCCAGGTGTGGTGGTGTGCACCTGTAGTCCCAGCTACTGGGGAGGCTGAGGCAGGAGAATCGCTTGAACCTGGGAGGCACTGTCCGAAACACACCAACTCTGTCTCTGTACCCATTAAACAGTAACTCTCCATTCCCTCTTCCCTGTAGACACGAGTTACCTCTATTTTACTTTCTGTCTCTATGAATTTGCCTGTTCTAGGTACTTCTTCTATGTGGGGTCATATAATATTTGTCTTTTTGTGTCTGGCTTATTTCACTTAGCGTAATCTTATCAAAGCTCATCCATATTATAGCATCTGTTAGAACAAAGCAGTTAATTTCACATGGTCAAAGGAAGGTCAGGGAAGTTTTCCTTCGAGTCTTATTGCTTTTAAGTACCAGATGGTCAGTAAAAATTCATCCATATTTCCTTCCATATTTTTGTTTGAATTTTAAAACTTATCTCCTTACGTTCATTTGAAATTTCTGGGTGTGAGCGGAGAATCTAAA